TTTTGTACTTCTCACAGTTTCATCGTGGTACTGTTTGGAATAAAATTTTCTTTATCCTAGATTCCAAAAGAACTATTTGTTTGCGCAGTATCCAGTTTGATAACGATAAATATTTCTTTCTGTATTCATTGCCTTTATTTATTGATAAATGTTTTCTTTGACTATAAAAAATGAAGGATCAGCTGAGTGTTTTCCTTTCCTTTTGTCTTCTTTGTTTCAGTGTTGTCAGGCCATTGCTGCTTCTGTATGCACAGGGGATGAGTTTCCCAAGGGTATCGTCCCCCGAATATTATTTCTTGAAAATTTCTTTTGCTCAAGAGACAAATCGAACTGGAGTTGGCCACATGGAACAAAGATTCATGTCGTTGGATCTTTGATTCTGCAGTCGATATTTAGACTTCCTAGTGTATGGGTTCCTTTGTCATTCTTCTTTTGAATTTGATTCCATGTATATGCATGTCTATGCCACAGATTTATCTCTTCCATTACTATGTTCATAGTCTTTAAGCTTAAGTCTGACATCTGAAGTGTTCTATCTAGCTTGTTTGCGTCAACTCTTATTTCTTCTATTATTTCAAAAGCCAGTGCTTAGTATTGTGTATCTTATATTTATCCTGTACTATATTGCTATTATAGTAACGAGTGAAGTGTTACTGTTAGCATGATTATAATTTTTTTTATATGCTACAGGAACTAATACAGGTGTACATTACTAGTATCACATCTTTAGAAGAACATCATGTTCTCGAGGCATCGAAAGATCCTAGTGGTTCACGGTTCATTGAATCTTTTCTCAACTCGAATATATCGGGAAAGCAAAAGAGGAAGTTAGTTGCCAAGTATGTATTATAGCATACTTTTGTTACTCCATACAGTTGGAACTGATATTGTTGATTTTCTAATAATGATGGTCTGTAACTTGAAGGCTTCGAGGACATTTTGGTGAACTCTCAGTGCACCCATTTGGTTCATTTACTGTTGAAAAGTGCTTCACTGCTAGTAACTTGAATCTGAGAGAGACAATAGTATCGGAAATGTTACCTCTCCAACCAGAGTTATCCAAGTCTAAGCAGGGACCTTACCTACTGAGGAAACTTGATATTGATGGGTGAGCCTTTCCTTTTGCATCTTCATGGCTTCTCCCCCTTTCCACTATCTAATGTAGCTTAACACCAGAGGCGTATAGTGCTTTGTGGCTGAGTGCACATTTTTTTCCCGTTCCGGGCTATGTTGTGTCATAACTCTTAGTTTCTATGCATTTTAATCCTGTTTGTGTCACAAAATTAAAGGGCTAGACGTTGAGGTTACTGTTTCTCCAAGTACAATTGCTTCTTATTTCTTATAATTTAGTTACTTCATGCTGTTTATCATTAACATTAGCATCTGAAGGGACGCCTTTAGAGGCGGCGAATTATGTTTTCTGGCAGTTTGAATAGTAGCCTTTCTTTAAAAATAAGTAAATAAATACATCTCTGAACTGTGAGATTACATGCTGTAATCAATTCAATCATCTTCATTGGAGAAGAGTGCAAATTGATAGTGGGAAGACCTTCTGAAACCATTCTGACAGTCTCATCTAAAGTTGTGTTAAACTCTCCTGGTTTATTGTCACTTATTTGGCTTCCTTTTCTGTCATGATAGATTTGCAAGGCAACCCGACCTGTGGAAGTCAAGACAAGCTTCACAACAATCTGCTCTGAAAGAATTTTATGCTACATTTGGACCAAAGGAAACCAAATCATTTGAAAAGGAGAGCTTTCTTGCTGATACTGTTTCCAAATCAAAGCCAGGAAAGTTAAAAGACATTAGGAAAGAGATTGAGACAACTTTAGCTTCTGCCAAAACTTCAATTACCCCCTTCTTGGCTCATCAGGTTTCAAAAAAAGTGAAAAGGTCTAAAGACGAGAAGAAAAGGCATAGGAAAGATGGCGAGTCAGAATCTAAAAGAAAGAAGATCAAAGTTTAACTGTTATGCTTTTAGGTTCTTTATTGAATTTTACATTACTGTATCTGAGCTCTCAGTTTTGGTTACTTTCTGTTGTTTGATCAGAAATGATGGAACTTCTATTGGATGCCGAAAACACTTAATTTTGTTGATTCTAGTTAAATTATTCATTGGTAAGTTTAAATGGTTGGTTCATATATATGTACTGTTATGAAGAACTTAATAGTATTCACATTTATAAAACTTTTGGAAATACATCTAACAACATATTACATAGCTACCAAGGAACAAAATTGGATCCTGTATTTGTGCTGCAAGTGACTATCCTAGCTGGATAGTGGAAACTAACTTTGTACTACGAAACTGCATTGATATTGAATGAACGAATTGCTTTGAAGGTGCTGTTTTTTGCTGAGGGGATGCTTCTTTTAGTCATCCTATGGAGGCTTGTACCTGGTACAAGAATGTGATATTTGAGAAAACTGCTTATGGATGTAACTGAAAAACACTTTTAGATTCAGAAATTACTTGTTTTGTATAGGATTCCATCTGCTTGGAGGTATTCTCCTAAAGCTTGAATCAACTTTCTTGAATGGTTTCTCCTGTTTTGTATGCAGACCCTTGAGTGTTTGTGATGTTGAAGTTTTTTGGGACGGGTGCTGTTTATTGGAGAGGAACCGAGCTGCATGTGCGGCATTGGACTCTGAAGTAAGAATCAACAGAAGTGCTAGAACAAAAGCAGCTAGTATTCTTGAATAGCTCTTCATAGTCTTGCTGTGCTGTAAGCTGAGTTAAATGGTGTTTTTTCTATGTTTATGGTGATTTGGTAGCTTTGAAGCTGAGGTGATGAGATCTCATATATATATATATATATATATGATGTTTGAATGTGTTGGAACAGTTGAAGGATCCAATGCTTAGTGAGATCATGTGATGTTTCTTTGACTGTTCGGTGTTGGAACTCTGATTTCCAGATAAGTTGTTAGAAAGTTTCAGAGTGATCATGTGACCTGGCACGTGATAATATTTTATTTACTGGAAGAGGGTGATTATTTTATTGTTTTTAACTTTTGATATTGAAAGATTTGATTTCATCCCTTGCGAATTGCTTTCGCCCTTTTCTTTAACTCAACTAGATCTCAAAACTTTTAAAATTTATGCGTGTCTTGTTTTAATTTTTTGGAGTTTCACTCGGAAGCACAATATGGCTAGTGAGAATTCACTTGCGTTTGCATTTGATAACAATCTGAAACGTAGTTATTATATTGTGTAAATTTGGACTGTGTTGGACAGTGGATGATTTTGTGCAATTTATTTATTTCTTTATTCCTATGAGTTGTCTAATTATACGTGTAGCTTACAGGGCATGCTTGAGAGTATTTGCAAGTCAAAAGATGCTCTTTTATGTATTTTATATTTCTGTTGGAAAATGTTTGTTTATAAAAGGAGTCCTCAGATTTTTCACTTTTTGAAATGGGTGTGCGCAGATCTCCATCCTTCTTTTCCTGGATGACAATTGTCATATCGTCCCTCCCCCAAACACCCACCACTTTTTATGTCGACTTGAAACAATTTATACGGGCCATCAAATTGAATATGATTCTTTTAAATTTAGGGTAGACAGTTCAAATTCAATCTAAATAGGTCTTCTGGATGGGATTGAATTTTCTTTTAAGTTTGATTATTGGATTTTCTATGTTCACTTTTGAGCCTTTAAGGTAGATCATAACAATTATCAATCTTAATTTACCTAATAATTTGCTGTGCGGTTAATCAGAATAATTCATGACACTATTACTTCCATAATCATTACATTACACATCTTTATATGAAATAATAAAGTGGGTAGCACTTTTTCTTTTCTTCTGGAAATGCGTGTGAAATTTTAAGACAAAAAGAATGATCCATCTTAGTTGAAAAACACGAACAAGAAAACTTCAAAGTTGAGATGCTTCGTTGATTAATTCTATATTAGACACCACTAAGCCCTTCCCTTTCCAACTAATAATTTACTAATCATATTACCGTCTTTTGCTAATTTAAAGTTTTAAGTTTTTTCTTTCTTTCTTTTGTTATAAATAAAGAACACATTTACTTTTGGAGACCATGTGCGTTTAAGATAGGATAGTAATCAAGAAACATGCTTGAAAGACGTGTTCACAATCAAGCATCATTTTTTAACCGCGATTAATAAGACAGATTATGTTATTATTACGGATAATTATCATGAAAAATAATTTTAAAAGTTTGAAAAATATTGTTTTGCATCTCTCATAACTGATATTAATTGTGAGAAACTGGATTTTTCGGATCATAAGTTGGTGGATTTAAAATTTGTAAATTCAAAAAATATGAAATTTGAGTCCATCAGATTGTGAGAAGAAAAAAAATCAATTATGTAAAGCACAAAATAAGTTTCTTTTTTCTACATTTTCAAATTGGAGTCTATCGTCCTTCTTGCATTGTCTTAACTATTCCTATAATCCTATTATGTAATTTGTTATTTTCTTTGAATTTAAAGAAGTGGAAGCTAGATTTTAATTATTTTTTTTAACTTAATAGTTTTGAATTAATATTTTTGTTTATTGGATTCTAAAAATAATATCATTTATAATATTAATTTTATTTTTTTATAAATACAACATTCGAATCAAAGGTATTTATATGAACTCGTCATTTTATTATGTTCCATCCATGCGGATTTTGAACTATAGAAAGAGTCTAGACATCTATTTTTCTTAGTATTAATTCCATAAATTATATTAAATTATTCGTATAAAGATTACAGTATCTTAAAATTTTAGTAATTTCGTATTTTATAAATAAAATATTCCGAAAGATATAGTATATAAATTTATAATTAAAAAGTTATGTGGCCCCTTTACCCAAATTAACAATACCAATGATATGGACGCGACAGTGCCACACGGAGAATGATAAGTCGGCGAAGTTACAATTAATAGGGGTAAACTCGTCCATCAAATATTAGGAGTGATTGGCAAGGTCAATTTTGTCCTTGAAATAAATTTTATTGAATTGCATTATCGGACTCAGCTTCGGCTCGTGAGTCGGGTCAGTGTCCATCATCTGCAAGCCGAAAACCAAGAAAAGCTTCTCTTCAATTATTTTTGTTCCTCAACTCGCAGCCGTTTGAAGTAGATCTTCATCAGATTCTGGAAAACCTCAATTCGCCCAATTCAATTTCCAATTTCTTCGAGATCTTCGGTAATATATGATCTTCTTCTTTATGTATGTACATCATCTACTTCGTTAATTTTGATACGAAGACAATGAATTTCGATCTGATTACCTGGATTATTGTGCGGTTTGTTTTCTTGTTTGTATGATGCGTATGTCTCTCGGCTATTTCGTTTACGGTGTTGATTATCAATAGTGTTTTAATTTGAGAATATGTGCTTTATGTTCGTCGTTCGATAGTAATGTACTTAATTTCTGTTACTTCCGGTTTCTTGGAGGACTTATTTGCTGAATTGCGTGTTTTGGCTCTCAACTGTTTCCTCCTATCTAGTCCTAGCATTTCCATCACTTGTTTTCCTTTGAATATTTGACTGTTATTATTTTTTGGGTTAGAAATTCGGGGAAAGAAATAAAGATGTGATCATAGATGTCAGTATATCTGGTTTTATTATTATTCTAATGTAGGCAATAAAACAAGACCTATTCCTAATCAAAGACCAGATAGAGTTTTATCTTCTTATAGATGCAACTGCTTTCACCAGGAAATTTCTTTCATTAGATTGTCTATATAGTACTAGAAATATCTAAATAACCAGATGAATGTCTATATAGGTCCATGAAGGCGTCATTTTTTTAAGGTAAAAGGCAGTGCCTTGTACGGCATTGAACTTTTTTCTTATGTAACAGCCGTACGAGTTAAAAACAGTAGATGTGAAACCTTCTACTCGAAAAAGATCTTCCATGCTTGACGGTATCCATTCCCTGGTATTATCTGCTGGCTATATTCCATAGTTTTGCCAATGATGTTGTACTCTCATTCAATCCCCATCCATGATTGGTCGTGAATACTTTAAGAAAGAAAACAAAAATTCTTCATGCCTTTTCCTGTTCTAAAAAATCTTCACTCCTTTCCTCCACAATGCTCGAGTATGTAGAATCTTTATTGGTGTTTGAACCTTGTGTACTATAGAGACCCATCAAAAAGAAAAACTGTGTACTATAGAGTAAGGACTTGATACGTGTTGGTTCCTCTTACGAAAACATAGACTCAGTTGAAGACTGGATTCTTTACAAATATTGTTCTCTTATTCCATTATTCTTTGCCCTCATTACTTTGGAAACCTGTCCTATCCTTTGTATGGCTAAATATAATGACTTGTGGGAAACATTTGTCCATTTCATTACAAACTTACGGTTTATACACATTTCAAAGTCCAGGAAGAATCCTATCTGTTGCTGAAAAGAAGGGAGGATCGGTAAAGAGGTGATGCCTCAACAGAAGGGCTTGGTGAAGAATGTTAGGCCTAGTCAGAAGAAAGTGCATTTGTTTGCTGGCTAGAATTTTATTCAGTCACTATTTCCATCACACCCTATTTCTCCAATCTTATAATCTGGAATGATGTTCGTCAGTGACCTGTATTATATATGATAGTTGTCCTTTTGAAATTCAAATGCACAATATGGATGCGTATTGTAAATGACCTGGCAATTCTGAACAATATTTCTCTTTATTCTTCTTTTCGATAGTAAACCTCTCCTCACTCCTCAGGGTGTCCACAGTGTTTTCTCCCCTCCCCCAGTGACTACTTCAGTTGATCGAAAGTGGAGGGTTCTTGATCAACAGTCTCCTGTCCAATATTTACTGTTGATTGAACGCATTTCTTGTCATCTACCTAAGCCTCGTTGGACCAAAGTTATTGGGTACTTGTGTGTATGGGGGTGGCAGATATCCAATGCATTCATCAAGATGAGTAAAGTTGACCTGGACACTGCCATTATTAAGAATATGTGAAGTTATTGGCCTGTTTAAATTAGGAAATATGAGAGTCTAGAAGAAACCTTTTAAAATATATCCTGATGCTCCCTGTTTATTGTTTTCTCTGAAAATACACGTTGCTCGCTTCTCTTTGTAAGCTTCCTCTATTTTTCAATTCTTGGCTCCGCCACTGTTCCTAATTGCTACTGGGAACAGATTTAGCTGGCTTTGCCTGCTTTTTGTTCCTGGATTATTTTTTTGTGGACTTAATAGTCTTTTTTGGGCATTATTCTACCTAAAAATGTAATGCCCTATATATTCTATGATTAATAAGTTTGGAATTCCTGGGTTTGTTAAGATTCTCATATGTCTACAGGTTGTTGTATTTCTGGTGGTCAAGAGGATAAGGAAAGCTTTGCAGGATTCTCTCTTAGTTTCAATATATTTTGAAGCTAAGACATGGCAGAAAAAGCATGTGTAAAGCGCCTTCAGAAGGAATATAGAGCACTTTGTAAAGTACGTAACCTTTTAGTTGCTGGTAATTGCTCTACATTTGAAGCATTACCAGATACTTTATTTCAGTCTATAGCTATTTGCAACACATGTAAACTAAGGCTAGTAATTGTTAATTATGCAATGGTGGGTTTTTGCTTCCCTCCACACCATTGCTAGGCCTGAAGATATGCGAGTTGTGTGCTTGAAGTCCTGTCATATCTTGGAGAATGTTTTACTTCATGGACTTACTCTTGTGGGATGACGTCCTCCTATGCCTTTTGTGGGCTAGACTATTCTACACCATGCAAATTTAATTATGTTGTACAACGCTATGGTAATGATGCATTCTCCATTGCAGGAACCTGTTTCCCATGTTGTGGCCCGCCCTTCTCCGAATGATATCCTTGAGTGGCGTGAGTCCTACTTCTGCTCATGTTCTTGCAGTCAATTATGGAATAAAATTGTCTCTTAACAAATGATCTTTTTTTCTTTGTTTTTTACAAGTAAAGTAATCATGAAAATGTAGCAGTATTTCTAATTAATATAACTGACTAGACTTATTTGCAGGGAGTGGCCCTCCTTTTGTTTTCCTTGTTTTCCTTTGGTTTCTCTTGATCAATTAATTCGTCATTTGTTTGCTTTGATATTACTAATGGTCCTACTTCTACCTAAACTGTGTGTCCAGATTATGTTTTGGAGGGGAGTGAAGGAACACCATTTGCAGGTTGCTACTTTTTTCTGAGTTCAGTGTTTAAATTATTTGATTAGCTGATATTGTTGGGTGATAGCACTCCCGTTCCTCCAACCCGTCTTCCTGTCATTTTTGTATATTTGATATTCTTCTTATGCTCCTTTTGTTGTTGTTCACGAAATGATAAACACTTCCAATCATTAGGTGGATTTTATTATGGGAAGATCAAGTTTCCTCCAGAATATCCATTTAAACCTCCAGGGATCAGGTAGTCTAACGTCAGATGAGTTCGAAATTCCCTTGCTGTCTCCATGCTTTTGAGGGTTTTGTTTCCTGCTGATTTTTACAGCACATATGTTTTCTTTTTCTGTAGTATGACTACTCCAAACGGAAGATTCATGACGCAAAAGAAAATCTGCTTATCTATGAGTGACTGTAAGTGCTTTTAGAATTGCCTGATTGTCACAGTTTTCTGTTGCTTTGTGATGATCTTGGTCTGTTTTTAACCTTTGTTGCCTTATTTCCTCTCAGTCCATCCAGAGAGCTGGAATCCAATGTGGTCCGTGTCAAGGTAATGAGCTGCAAACAATAAATAATGCTTATTTGTCTGGCAATGCTTTCTTTAGTGCCTGTTTGGTAACCAAAAAACTTGTCTGGTTCTGACTTTGTAATGACAAGAAAAACAAATCATTGTTGCAATTTTTTTAAAAAAAGGTTTATGTTTTCGTTTCTGCCATGACAAGGAAATATATATCACCCTCTCCACTTTCAAAAGCAAACATGATTTCTTAACGAAGAGGTTATATGTGTTTTCACTTATGAAACATTTTGTTTTCAGGACCACTCCTCTGTATCTCCCTGCCACCTGAGATCCACCTTACTGCACTCCAGACTCTCCCTCACCCCCCACAAACAGATGCCCTATCCCCAGGGTGCCAGTCTCCCTCTTTTGCTCCACTTTAGCATAAACCTTTGCCCTGTCTCCCTCCCTTTTTAAGTCCCATTCTCTCATTCCATGTAATTTTGCTTGAGTTAATTTGTTTGCCTACCAAATTTTTTCTCTTTCAACAACAAAGGCAAAATACTCTCAAATCCATACTAGTTGAAATCTCAAACACCATCTCCTCAGTTGCCATCCATGTGTGTCTACTTTGTTATAACTTATGTTATTGTTTTTTTTTTTGTTTAACATGTTTCTGATTTCTTGTTGAAACAAATTAGCAAAAACATGCCTATTTATTCTTACAGCTAAAATGAGATGTTTTTTTCTTCTTTGCTCGGGCTAACTTCTCCCTGTTCTGCATGCAGCATACTAACAGGGCTGCTCTCATTTATGGTAAGTTTGTTATACTAATGCAGCTTATAATGACTCCTGGTGTTCCCATTTCATCTGCTTGTGTATTTTCAGGTCATGTTTTATTTACTTTGTGCTTTTCCTTTAATCAAAATGTTATATCTTTTTCATGCGTCTGGACAATTGAGTTCTATCTGTCTCTGTGCACAGAAGCCTTACTAAATGAAATAGATTCTTCATCTTGAAATGACTGGTAGAGATTGAGGACAATCTGAAGTCATCCATCACATAAAAGATCATTTAGCTAGCATAAAAGCTACCTCTGATCGGTATAGGGGAAAAGGAGGGAGTCTGGTAGTTGGTGAAGTTGCCCCATACTTCCCCTTTGTGGTTTTACATCTGCCTACCAAGAACAGTATTCTAAACTTCCATGTTCTATCACCTCTATGATGATGTCCTCTGCCAGTTGTATGATCTTCGCCCTCAAAATTGTCTAATATTTCCATCTACCCTCACTTCCCAAAAAATGCACAAAGGGACTGTTCTCCAAACTTCTCTATGCTTCTTGTCTATCTTTTGACCCTTCCATCTGATGGTTGTTTTACTCAGACCATCTGGCATGAACACCAAAAATATTCAGAAACATGAACCAATTCTCCGATTTCTATCTGCAGTTTATGAATAGGTGGTTTACTGATTAGTTGATTGCTTGCTTAGATAACATTTTCTTCATTAGTTGAATCATTTCTTTTTGCAAATCATGTTGGGGTTTAAACATGCATTGCGTAATGCAGCTTCTGTCTCGTGCTCTAACTATCTATTACTTGCAGATGGACAATAGTCCTACCACAGGCAGTGTCTCAACAACCGTTGCTGAGAAGGAGAAGCTTGCGAAGGCATCCTTGGCTTTTAACTGTAAAAAGTGAGTTGACTGCGAGTTCCTTGCTGTTGTGTTGTATTTGTATAATTGCCTCGAGCTTGTCTCCATTGTGCAAGATCTCCTGCATGAGAGATGGATATGCTATTTTACTGTGTATTTTCCTTTATTACGTTTTTATTAGGTAGGAGGGTAACTTACTCTCTATTTTTTTATGATAGCCCAACCTTTAGGAAATTGTTTCCCGAGTATGTGGAGAAGTATGAACAGCAGCAGCTCTCGTCGCAGCCAGTTCCAGAGCAGGTATCATCTATGCCAGCTGGAGCAGATAAGTCTAGACCCTTGTTGGAAGAGCATGACAATTCCCCAAAGGACGAAGTGAACAGAGTGAAGCCTCTAAAAGACGTCAAAAACCAACAGAGGAAATCCGTTCCAACTTGGTTGTTGCTGTTGCTAGTTTCAATTTTTGGTGTTGTAATGGCCCTGCCTCTGCTTCAGCTTTGATGACTGGAATCTTGTTTTGTGCACTATGGTGAAGAACGAACCACCCCATATCTCACATGGATACGTAGTAATCCCCGCTGCTGGTTCCTGTTATTTCACCTAATATTATAGGTTTTTGATTTACCTAGGGGGAATGTATAGGCATTACTCTTGAGTGGAGATCTAACTAATCTCTTAATCTAGCTAATGGGCTTCTCTTTCCTATTGTGCACGTCAGTGGAAAGATTACATAATGTGCTTTTATTGTGAAGGGCTCAGAGCTGCAGGAGCTAGTTGTTTGCTTTTGCTTTGTCTGTGTATAGTTGGCAAATGTGGGTTTATTCTTCTTTGCAAGTCTTTTATTTACTTTATTTTCCTCTTTTTTTTCAGGGAGGGGATGAGGTATATATAGACATGTGTAGTTATACGCTCCACAAGTGAAGTTAAAAGGTGGAGCCATAGTAAAAGTATGTCTAGTCTATTGTTCTTTGTGGTAAAATTATACATAGCATAAGCAGGCAGTCTGTCTAGTGTATTGTTCTTTCTGGTAAAATTATACATAGCATAAGCAGGCAGTCTGTCATTACTAATGCTTTCTGTTCACGTGTTTGGATGAGCTGACTAAACCAATTATTTCTGTGCGGATGTCACTCGTGACTGGTTTTTACTTGTTCACTAAAGTCTCAGATTTTTCTTTACGGGAAGCGGAGATTATCAATCTATCAACTAAATTTGAATGTTTAGATAGATGAAAATCCAATAAGAAGTGCTTGGACGAGCCATGCTTGAAATTTGAAACCCATCACTGATGATGCCACATTAACCCCTCTTTTCACGTTTCCTTGTCGCCCACTTGGTATTTATAAAACCTTTTCACCTAAAACTCCACTCCAAAAATTGCGCCTCAAAATTTACATTTATTACCTACTCCATTGTTTATAACGTGAAATCGTACGTTAACAAAACCTGCTTTTCCTATTTAATTACTCCCTGAGATATGATTACGTCTCTCTCACTCTTGTTACCAACATCAATTTCTTCATGAATTCAAATCTTCACCGCTTTCCAGAAAAGCTCAAGAGTCAAATGCTACTACACTTCTTCTGAAGGAACTCTTTTCCTTAGGTAAAGAAATTGCAAAAAACCATACTCATTGATATTTCTTTTTTAAATTACTGAGTGTTATTTAGGTCTCTGATCCGTTTCAACCGATAAAAACAGTTGCTTATGCTGATACTTCCTTTCATTGTTAAGCATTGGTAAATATAGCTTTCCTTAACTAATCCAATTTATCCAACCACTAGTTTTTTCCATTTTTTCATATACACTCTCATGGGATATGGAAAAGCCTTTGCTGGTCTTTCCATATTTATTTCTCTTTTGGAATCTACTATTATTAGGGGAGCCCTCATACTTTCTGCAAGGAACAAAATGTATCTCTATATAGGCATGGGTTGTAACTTGTAAGACTTGATGAAAATTTTCACTTCACAGGGCTCAAGCTCGAACCTGCATTTTGAAATTCCAGGGAGCAAACTATGAACAAGTTTCCCATATACCCAAAATATGAAGGTGGGGACTATTGTGGCTACGGATTTGATCCTCACACAGACTTTACGGATGTAAGTCCATTTGTTTTTTTGCTTTATATCCCTCAACTCATTTCAAGTTTTTATCTTTTATTCAGTGGTGGAGGCAGAGTTTCCAATAAGTGATTCAACATTTTTTTACTTTATACACCCAAAAAAAGGAATTAAACTTGGTATATACAATGTACCTTTCTGCCCTGCTTTGTTTACAACATCACTAGAGACTTCAGTTGCGTATTTATATGATAGTATAGGTTACTTTTAGAGATTTGAATATCTTGTTACTGTAGTTTGTTTTTTCTCTTTGTGTGTTAATATCATTGTATTCTTTGAGTAATGAGATAAGTTACTCCCCGCTTTGTCTATCCCCATTTTGATTTCCGATCCATGATTTAGTTGGGTTGAGTCAGGCTCAAGTGGCTGTGAAATGTTGAACCTGAATAGTTGAACTGTCAAGTTTATATTCTGAATCCGCCTCTCCTTACCAGCTAGATGACATTTGATGATTTATGACTTGCGCGTTTTACAGTTCTTGTCAGAAGCGAGAAAGCATGTATCTGAAGGGAAATTCAGCACTACACCTCCACGTTCTGTGGAACTGAGAAACAACAATTTTGGAAATGATGTTAAGAAAACTTGCAAGAAGTCATGGAAAAGATCTCTGTTTTCATGGCTGAAGACTGATAAGAAGAAGAATCAGGGAAGCAAAGAAACTTCAAAAGGCTCCACCATTAACAAGCCGAAGCGTGGATGTGTCTCTGGTCCAATGCCAGGGATCAGCGGGCCAGGTACTATAGCTGGAAGGCCCAATAAACCTTTGTCTGGGCCCCTAACATATCTGTTCGGTCCAATTAACAGAGTGGACAATGAAATACCTTATCTCTGTCTTAACAAGGTTAAGAATAATACTCCTGATGTTCAATCTTATGGGCCTCTTTATCTGGTAACTTAAGATTGCAAAAGGGTAGGTCTAATTTAGCAGAGACTACAGGTATGTGTCTTGAATCTATGTGTTTGGTGAATGCAAACAAATATCATAAGCAAAAAAGAATTTGCATTTGTTGCAACTTGCAAGGAACAGCTTCTTTTTTTCATCATCACATGCTAGTCTAGGAATAGGTTCTGAATTCACCCATGATTTTGGAGTTTTGAATTTGAATAGCTTCAACATCAACATTTTGTTTGACGAATTTCAGGAAAATCAGGCACACTCGTAATGCTTCATTTTTACTACAGCTATATACATGTTTACTGCAAACTACTCTTAAATTTCGACCAAATATCGTCCAAACGCCTGCATGATATTTCGAGTAAGCTGTAACATATATTTACAAGGAATTGTAGAACCCATACGACAAATGAACACTCACATTAATAACAAATACTCTCCTGTAAGAGAAGATAGATTCCCCTCAATTCTCAAACAGAGAAGCCCCTTAGCCCTAGCAATTTGTTTTACACATATACAATCTAGTATTACAAATACATAATAGGCATATGAAGATTGCAGACGACTTCTCATCTGCATCAAGAATCAATCAATTAACTTCAATCTAGTGAATTATAGTTCCTAAGATTCCACACTTGTCCGAATTCCAGAAGTGTAACAATCTCTAGCTCAGGTCCCTGCTTCCTCGTTCTACATCTACATTTCTGGGACTGCAAGGATTCAAACTGCTAAATAGCCTCGTTAAAGATCTCAATTGTGTTGGTGTTGGTGTTTTCTGTTCTTCTTCATCATTGCGTCTTGGAATATCAATCATCAAAACCCCATCTGGCCTATTGCTTGTGGATGCTGATGATGTAGTAGTTTCCTCTCCCCAGAAAAGAACATTAGTTGGTAAATTTGGTGTCTCTGTGGAAGCTACTGAGATGGCCCCGGAATTTGTGGATTGCGTATCTGAAATGGGGTTTCGGCATAAAGGGCAAGTGGAATGAGATTGAAACCACATATCAATGCAATCGACATGAAACCCATGATTGCATTTAGGCAAAAGTCTCGCCTTTTCACCTTCACAGACTTGGCTAAGACAAACTGAGCATTCCAGTCCATCTTTAAAATCCTTGGTATCAAATGGAATTACAGGTATGGTTTTAAGGATTGAAGGGTCAATGCCTCTCCGGAGTGCATTCACTTCCTGATAACCACCGGCGAAGTCGAACCGGCGGCGCCTTGTGCCGTCGTTGGGGTTGGCGTCCTCTGTCGTGAAAAATTTGGAGTATATGTGAAGGAAGAATACCAAGAGCACCGTAAAGAAGAGAAATACGACGACAGCCATCATGATCTTAGCCGTGATCGCAATAATACCTGAATCACCTAATTTACCACTTCCCATTTTGGTATTTTGAATTTGCAGTTCCAAACAGAGGCTAGCTAGATTAGTGGACGCAAAACACCAAGTATGAAATTTGGAATTATGGAGTATGATGTGAAAAGTGGGAAGATTTGGAAAGAGAATTTAAAGGTGGAGAGGGGGAAAATTGCAAGTCCAATTAGAAGGTGATGGGGAGTTTAAGAGATGAAAATGGAGTCTAAGCTTGAGTGCGACAGTGGTAAATACACACACGAAACGAAGAGTCACCAAAAGACTCCCAGCATGGCGGCATATATATGGTTTCAAATAAACAATTCTGGCCGCCTTCCCTTCTTAACTTGTGAGGAACTTTCTCATTTGACCATTTGTTTGAACATTCAATGGAAAAAGACATACTCAACATTTATTGTAATCTTTTTATAATATATAATAATCTCAAATGGAGGCCCTATTTGTTTGAGGGTCTTTCTACTTCTTTGATTGAAATATAAGTACATCTCAAATTATTACACAATAATAATTAAATTTATGAATTATTTCACAATAAATGTTACATGAACTCATGGGTAAAACTTTGAACCCGTACACATTCAAATTCTCCCTGCTCATCAACATAACACATCATCCAGCCCATTTATGCTAATAGTTAGCACAATTAATAATATGTTCAAATAAAATTATAATTTTAATAAGTTTATTTTAGTTATTAATCATTAAAATATCACATGATTCAACAACACATGTTTTATAATTTATGTGGTTGAAAAGTCAAATGTGTTTTTTCTAAGAGTGGTCAAAAGAAACTAATAGACCATAAATTGTAGAAATAAAAATCAGAAAAAACTAACTACTGTTGCTCTGATTAGATTCATAAATCTTACAAACTAACGTCGTTGGTTTTGATAAATAAATAAAAAATAATCTAGGCAAACTAAGTAATAGGAAAAACTTTTATTCATTAGTTAAAAAAATGTTTTCCTATCAATGCGTTTTTGAAACTTTGATCAAAGCATCAATTATTAACAAAATATATTTTCAAATTAATTAAACTATTATTTTTAAAATATTTTTTCGAAAAACATTTTTTTGACAAAAGAAGAAAAAAGAACACTTGGTATATTCAAAGTCTAGAGTCTAGACCGATGCTCATGTTTATCAAGCTCCAAACAGCTTATGGTACTAGTCGTTGTTTTCGGTCATCTCCTACGGTATCTCATCATACAGGCAACATTATTACTCAAAATGTAATCGGTTAGACCAGAACTTTGATAAAATTGTATGTTTTCGTAAGGATTTTTTTTCTATAGAGAAGTCGAAAAAATAAAGAACAAATTACAACTATTGAAAACCAACTACAATTATGACTCTCTGCTAATTAATTTGTTTAGATCAGTCCATAGATTATGGATTAGGATTCTGCTTTTGACAAGTATATATTGTAAAACAACATGTATATATGTGCTGAATGGAAAGGTAAACAGAAGTATAACATTCTGGTCAAAGAATGAGCTTTTAATTTCCTGTAAAAAAATAAAAATCAAATTAAAGCAAATACAGTCTCGTGTTCGTTTAGGTGAGGCATTCCATATTTGTAAGGGAAGCAATGACCTCAGAGCTAAGAGGATCAAGAAACCAATTCCAAATGTTATCCGCAGCAGATATCAAGGACGAAACTAAGCGATTTTTGGTACATGATCTCATAGAAATGTTAGCAGGCACAGGAATTCTGCAGAGAGGGCAAATCGAATTGATGTTTAGCCAAGAATCAATGCAATGAGTATGAAATTCATGTCCACATTTGGTAAGCACTCGCCGGGATTCAGCCAAAGAAATATGGGCAAGGCATATTATACATGTCAAGTGATCATCTACACAATTGTTGTCTTGTTTTTGTGTACTGATAATGCTATAGTTAGAGGCGTTTACAAGCGACAACAATGCATCTTTGTGTGCAGTTATTATGGACATTATAGGAAACGCTGCAATCACTGCTACGGCTATCATTTCATGACTACTGCTTGATGAAACCATGAATTAATTTGTGTTCCCCTCCCCTGCATGTTTATTCTATTTATAGTGCATGGTTTGAGGTTTATCTTTTGAATATAAATAATTAATTGACTACTAATTACTCACCAACATTATCTATAAGGATTTTGGTTTTGACTACTGTCCTAGCAGCTGAATATTTCGTGTTACACAAAAAAAAAGAAGATGAGTTTGAAGTTTTGATCAAAAGCAGCAGGCGTGCTGTGCAGGGCACCAAACAGCATGTGCTGAATGACAAGGTAAACAACATTACAATGGTCAAATAATTTACACAAGACAAAATAGTGTTACGTTGCAAAAATTGCAGCTGCGTGCTACTATTAACTATTAAGCTTCGCCGTGTAGAGATAAGTTTTAAGCTTTTTGTCAAACAAGCGCTATTGTAGACAAAAGGAGAGCCTATTAAACATAGTATTTTTAAAACAATTTAGTAATGTCCAAATCAATAGCTTGTTATACTTGACTGCTACTGTTTAATTAATATAACCAAGGGTTACAAATTGGGAAATTATTTGAAAAGTGAAGTACTGAAATAGATAATACCTGATGGGCATTAAAGAGTTGATTAAGTGATTCAATGAAATAAAATAAAAAATATATAGTAATTAAATAAATAAGAACCCTACATTCAAACATAAGACATGTCTATATTGGTTTGAGCTAAACATCAAACTTCTTTCCCTATATTAAATTTTGAATTTGAAAATTTTCATCTAGAACTAATTTCTCATACTTAATTTTTTTTTAAAAAAAGAGATAATTTTATATAAAAATTATTTTTAAATTTTGAGGTCTAAAATTTAAATTACAATAACAACGAAAAAAAATCTTAATGAATGAAATTATTCATAATTTCATATCCACTACAATAATAAAAGAATTTTTTTTATATGAAATTTAAAATCACATCAAATAATTTTGTTAAATATATAAATTATATGAAAGAATTAGATAGGTAAGAAAAAGAAATGAAATAATTGTGACATATTGGAATTTATGCGTCAAATTTAAAAATCTTTGAAATATCATATAGAAGTAGAGTATATTATCCAGCGGCTTGTGAACTTTTGGACAAAGGGAAGTTGTGTGGTTATCTATCGCTGTGTCACCTCTCTCCCCCGCTTGCAACCGCCTTTGCCTTTCTCTGTAATCTTCTTTACTCCAACAACACTAAACCCAAGATTTCAATTCAATACACAGTTGCCAGTAGTCGGTGTATGGAAACTGAAAAACACATTGCATTCCGTTTCTCTTCTTGAATTTGACCGACTTGGAGTTTGACTGGATGAGCTCTCCATGCCTTTATTAGGTGAATTCAACCACTTTTGAATTTTAGCTCTCTCTTCAAATTTGTGATTGGGTTAATGGGTAAGTCTCAGAATCTGTTGCCTATTTGGGATATGTACTGAAGTAGCCGTCATGTTTTATTCCGCAGATATAGCTACTACACAGCCTTGTTTTAGGAACAATGTCTGTTCAATTAGTTCTCACAATGTGTTTGCTACTAGATTTCTGTACAATAATGAGATTAGATTTGTATCTACTTGGAATTCCTTCCGAATACCACAAAAAGCTCCGAATTCCAGAATTAAACTGTTTCGGAGTGGGTTGATGATAAGGGCAATAGCTACCCTCGAAAAAGGACCCACCAAGAACACCAAAACCAATGAGGAACAAAACAATTTTGGTGATGTGAGGATGGGAAAATATGCAGCAAGTTCAACTTCTGTTGTTGTAGAGCAGCAGTCGCCAAGTGAGGAAGCTGAGTTGAATGAGAGAGAGAAGTTGAGGCGAATGAGGATATCCAAAGCTAATAAAGGGAACACACCTTGGAATA